TATATATATATATATATATATATATATATATATATATATATATATATATATATATATATATATATTCTGGTACATATATATATTTTAGTGAAATGCTATGGCTAAACTTTGATTACTGGAACTTATAATAAGGCATTATATTTTTGTCAGCAAAGCCAGATGTCCTAAAACGACAAAATGAAAAACTTTGGTAAGTTATGATCAGTGTGCACGGTTAAAACACAGTGGTAATAACTTATCGAAATTTATGATCAATATATTCTAACACAATGATCAGAAACAGAAACTAGCAAATAACGGAAATGTTTTGGAACTCCTCCGCTGAGCTGATGAGGAACGTTTGGAAGGCCTACGACAAATGTCCGAGACAATATGCTGGTGATCCTAAAAAATGTCCACAACGACGTTTTTTGCCTGGATAAAGGATAAATGACTGCTCTTTTTTTTTCCATTCACCTAAACTCGTAAAAAAAACGATGTGAAATTCGCATAGTTTTTAAATCGAATATTGAAACATAGAAAATATTTACTAAAAAGTTGTAGAATTTCAAATGCACTGTTTTTTTTAACCACACACATTGGTCAGAACTTATCAAATTCCACTTTTAATAGACCTACTAAGTACTTCTTTCTTGAGACTTTGTATTTACGAGCATTGTTTTTCATGATTTTATTTTTTTTATTCTAATTTAACTTGACAGTTCAACAGACCAGTATTTGGATGAATTCGTGGAAATTTATTCCAAAATATAAAGACATTTATCAGGTTATTCATTATCCAAGAATTTTCCCTAAGGCGAAATCAGTTACAATAGATGCGATCGATGCGATTGGTCGTTGTGGATCCCTAATTTTCGGGATTGCATTCAAAACAAACTTCTCTATCACACCATTCTTATTAATCTGAAGACCGCGGAACAAACGATCTTCGCTTCCTGGTACCCATTTCAGTGGCGGCGGTTTCACTATCGGTTTGCTTGAATCTACAATTGTAAAATTTTGATAAATTTTTGATGAATGAAACCAAAAATCCCACCTCCATTCTTGTTTGAATTTCTGGATTTGTAAGGCATAAAAATCATGAAAATAGTTGCAAATATAATTGACTTACTAACTGGAATTGGATTTCATAGAATTTACCTTGAACATAACTCAAGCTAAATGACCCATCTTGTCCGAGTTCTGTTGCATCGAAAATGATTAAAGCTTCTGCTTGCTCTGATAACACATTAACTTCATCATTCCCACAACTACAAAGTAGGATAAAATAAAAGGGAAAAAATTTCATGAAAGAGGCAAGCAATATTTTAGGGTTCATTTTCATTTTTTAAATTCCAAACAAATTTTAGCAGAATTTATTAAAAAAATTCATAGGAAACTGCTGATCAAAATATAACTTCTAAATTCCACAGGTTCATTATTAAATCTTACACGAGGTGGATATAACTGCTCTATGTTATCATTCAAAAATTGTGAAAAAAAAGAACCATATCCGGAATCCAGTTTGTTCAAATATTGAATTATGTTTTATTTCCACATACGATCGGCATGTAATGTCACACCGAAAACCTGCCGATTGAATTTTAATTCGTATTCTCGCGTTATTTGCCTAGGAATCTCGGAATTACAGAACAAATTTAATTTTTTTGTGCAATGTGACACCAAATTAAGGTGGATTTGATCGATGTGGAGAAATAAACAGGAATTAAGAAGTTTTCTTCAAAACAAATTATCAAATACGGTAATGAATTCACTCTGATCCTCCAATAACATTTTTGAGAGCCTTTGTAATCCAACTGCTGCCAGATGCCTGTTGCAATGAGTTCTGCGCCACAGTTACCTAAATTAAACACAAAAGCGCTTTCTTTCCTCACTTTGGAAAAAAAAACAAAATTTTTCTTTTCCAATTTGAAATTTAACTCTATAAAGCTGTTCAAATTAAAGGGGAAGGGGAATTTCCGGTAGTAATTGACAAAATAACTCATATACTTGGCTGGACATCAACACATGTTGGACCACCTAATCCAGTTGGACATTTACAAGAGTGGCAGTTGTTCGGGTCAAGATATCCACCATTTGCACACTGCAGTGGCGAAGCCCCACATATGTCTGCAAAATCCGGCTTATTGTTGAAAAATAGTAAAGTAAGAGAAGACTTTATCTTGTTTTAATTTGCAAAAGAAAAAGAATCCAAATTAAATGGAAAGGCACGGATATTTAGCTGGTTAGGACGAATCAATGGTATTTGCTACTTCACCGCCCATAAATCCCAGTTAAAAAAGCAGATCGCACTCTGCGTTGTTCCAATGAATAGACAGAATGAACTCACGATTGCAATAAAGTCTGTTTATCTGTTTTACATCTATAAATGATGGACCGTATCTTTGACCAATCGTATGACTATATCGTTTATCTATCGTCTCAATAGTTGTGTGATTCCAATCAACAGAGAATGCCTGAATTGCATTTTCCAGAAAAAACCTTTAAATAAGGCAAAATATTGCTTAAATGAATTTTCCATTTCCACTCCAACAGACTGAGGAACTATTCCATGCAAAAGAAGTTCAGAGATTCGCATAATTATGAGAGATGGATCTGTTGACTGCAAAAGCTGTTTATTCACAAACGTACATTTGGTCCATAATGCATTACAGAACCGAGATCAAATGGTACTCCCATATTCTCGATTTCCATATGTGATCGTTTGACGAAATTACCCTCAGTGCCACGAGCAATGTATTTATTCTGCAGCTTAATATACTGATCTCGATCTGGTCGAGATTGCTCATGCCAAAAACCTAATGAATGACCAATTTCATGACTAACAATACCAAGCTGCAATAAGTGTATTATCTTATTGATTCATTCTTTGATCCTCTTTTTCTTATGTTTTATTTGATGAAAAATGCCAGAACTATTCATACATCAATGTAATGAGCGTCTCCCCTCAAGCGTTCAGGAACAGCAAATGCTGAGATTTTTCTTAAGGTTTTTTTTTTCTAATTTTTTGACAAAAAGCAAGCACGGTACACACGTCTTCACAGCCGTAACCAATTGATATTTCTTGACGGCCACCAGTTCTGCCAACGTTCGAATAACACCTAATAAAATCCAATGTAAGTTGGAGAATCCAAAAACTGATTTTCTATATTCTTAGAAAAGTTAAGCAGAGCATAAAAATTAGTAAGTGAAACTTTCTTAGGTCACAAGAATACTTCCTTCAATATGTAAAAAATGTATCCGTGTTCCTACCAATAAGATACCAAATTTTGGCGATATATTTAAGACACTAGTTAAAAACTTATAAATTTGTATAAAATACTAAGAAACGAACCCGCTTCCACGAAAGAAAATCACTCGGTCATACCCGGGACCATCTTCCTGCCATCGAACACATGTTTCACGTTGCCAGAAGTACAGTGCTGATCGTATTGTATTACGCCACGTTTCCGCAAAAATTTAAGTTTGACAAGTTTAAAATTCAATTAAAAAAAGAAACATGCACAGTGCAAGAAATATCGCACATTATAGATTGATTCCAATCACTTCAAAGATACACTAAAAATCTCGTAAAAAAAAGAACCATCAGAAGAAGCAAATTCATATGGTATATTGCTATTCTTTGGCCATCGATAAACTTTTCCTGTAATGACTTTTCGTCTATTTCTTCGACGAAAATTACTCATTCGTTGTTCTTTTCCAGCCATTACAATTCTGAATTTGAATAAATTCAATCCACAGTCTACAGGAATATGGAAACAAACTTTTTTGTTTTCATAACCAAAAAAACTTTTTCGAAAACAAAATGTTATCGTATCCTAAAGTAATCATTCTTATTCCAGCTGAACGAATCAATAGAAAATTGTCATTTTCTTCACGCTAACTGTATAATGCTTCAGGAAAAGAAATCCTAATAGTTCACTTCTGAAAATGCGATTCCATTTCTGACCTCTTAATTAAGATGCTTCTCAAAATACTCCTTCATTATTCCTCGTTTACTCACCCACTCAGTGAAGATAAATTGCAAGATTCATTCAAATAAACTAAAATTTATTTAAAGAAATTAAGAAGCATCAGATTTATCCTCCATAGCACTCACAGGGAGTCATCTATCTGAAGTTCATCTGAAGCACAAATATCACTGCAACTTTATTTATAATGATCAGAATTCCAAGTGAGAAAGGCTTTGTTTTGGCTGAGAGGGAAACTAATTTTTACAAGTTAATTTCTACCTAATTTCTTTCGCAAATTTAGTGAAAGTTTAACTAGAAATTGTCTAAACAACAGCTTTGCGAACCCTGTGAAATTAGCTTCTCTCAAGTCATTAATAAATAGCCTGTGTATCAGAAATAGGCATAATAGTAGAATTATGTGACAATTCAACAATGGGCTAGAGGAACAAGAAGAGAACTTCAAAAAAAATCACACAGGGAGGAAGCTATTCTTTGTTCCTTAATTTAAGCTATTAAGTGAATATAAATTGAAATTCATGGCTACGAACGTGAGATTGGAATGACAACGACGACAAGGATTGAAATGGAAACTGGATATTATATGGAAGATATGAGGCTACCACTTACACTTTAAGAATTTCAGATTACGTGGCATACTTTGAAAATACTAAAACAGGCCTAAGGGCAAGCGAAATTCTTTTACCAGTTTGAAAAAACAATTTAAATTATACCCTTTTACTTGATCCACAGTTAAAACAATATCACTTTCGAATAAATTTTTTGCGATTGGTCTGTTACGACCTATTTCCGTTCCATCGTTCATTGGCCGTAACCATTGCTGAAAACCCTTTTAGAAATACTTTTACCTGATGCTTCATACCACCTTTCATACCACCTGAACTTTCTGAATCAGGTAAATTCACAACTGCAGTCAACAACCTGTCAGTAACTGATAAGTTTCAACTTTTTATCCAGAATATTCAGCAAATACAAACCGTGCGACTATTGTCATATTGACTGGATGACATGGAACTAAAGAAGATGTTGAGCAGTTTCTGCACTGATCCATAATCTTGATTTTGGTAGCGATGAACATCCGAATATTGAGCTATCTCGCCTAATAACTAGAAATTCTAGAATTAGCAAACGAAGACTAAAATAAATGCAACAAATAAGAAATGCAAACTAAATCAACTTACTCTAGTAACCTCTTGTCCAAAGTTCGCTGCTGATCCTCTTATTACATCATTAGATATAGGCTGTGCTACTTGAAACCTGGATACAGATCTGAAAAATGGTGCTTAATGCTTATGTTGCTAATACAAAGATTGCAGGTGTCTTCATTCAATTACCTATCTTAGCCGATTTGCTAAATAAGCTACTCATCGTTAATTTTATTGCCAACAAATAGAGTTAAAAAAAGCCAAGTTGGGAAATGCAAGTGGGGTTGCTGAGATGAAGCTTACTGTTGTTGTGGTTGTGTATTTTGATGAAGCTGTAATGTTTGCTGTTGCTGTCTTTGCTGTTGTTGACCCAAATATAGCTGATTTTGTTGAATTTGGAATATATGTGGTGCTGAAATAAAAAAGATTAAAGTGATTCATTTTTTGAGATTAGGTTGTTGAGGAAAGAAGCAAAGATAGTCTATCTGGAATAATGAGAAATAAGAATTATTGCTGAAGAATCCGATTATCTATTCTCATCTCAGGATAGTTAAAATCATGTATTGTGATACAATATGCATCAATTATTTCTTTTCCAAATCGTTCGAAATAATTTTACAAAAATTCACTTTATATCAACGAACCGTTGTCTGTCGGAAAATAATTTGACGGAGATGGTGCTACTCGTGCAGTTCCACGGGGATCATTGGCAATAAAGTCATCGTGGTTTCCACGACTACTTGTCAAGAGTGGAGTCTTTCTGGTCTCAAAGAAAAAAGACGAAGAAATTGGTTCGAGCAAAAATTATATCACATAATACAGTGATAAGAGGAGTTTCTACTCTTTTTTTTTTCTTAAAAACGTTTGATTTCATCAGAAATATTTGATGAAATTGTATGGAAGGAAGAAGCGGTTAGTGAGATCAAATTATGAATGTGTAAATGCTTAAGGATTGATGATTCCAATTTAAAAAAAAATCTGTAGAATAATAAACGGAAAAAGGTTTTCATCGATTTAAATTTAATTTTCGATCAGAATGTAATTCTGTAATGAAGCAAACTCTGGATTACGATACAAGCAAACATTCAGATGCTTGACATGCTCCTTTTATCATACTTTTTTCTAAGCACCGTTATAAAACACTATTTCGAAATGTGGGTAAATTATATCTGGTGAAGGTTATACTTACTTTATTGTGTCAAAAGATCAGAAGAATGGCAGATAATGGGCAATCACAAAATGATTAACTAATAGCACAACAAATTAAAACCGTCTTCTATTAACCAACTTTCCAATTAAGTTGGAAATATGCTCCTAATTGTTCATGTATTTTATGAGTCAAAACTTCAGTTATATTAAAATCGGGCTCATGAAGGAATCTTTCGCGTTTGACAAATTGTTGTTTAAGTGAATATGTATTAGGTGAAACAACGATTCAATCGCAATTAAAAAAGAACGTTACAAACCTGCGATTTTGACTGACCATTTCGGACTTGAAATAACCTTTGGCCGATATTGGTGCCAAACTTGACAAATTCCTAAAATAGTAAAAATCTGGCAGCCATCTTTCCTTTTCCATTACATCCGAGAGGTACGCAAGGCGAGTACTCCACGAATAAAACGTAATTTATATTGTTCAAAGCTGAAAGAATTTTCAAAAAAAAAAAATTAATGCAAAATTTATGTTGGGATTTTATGACAAAAAAAAATAGCAAGATAATTGGCATTTTTTAAGAAATTGAAGCTAGAATTTGAATAGGCTGCCAAAAAATACCTGTATCAAGCCTTCGCTATTACTAGTTCCTGCTTTTTTGGGAGCAGTAGCGCTTCCGAAAAATGGTGAAATCAGTGAAAAGAAATCCTGGCACTGCAAAAAAAATTAAGAGAAGAATTATAATTGAGCGATCAATAATTAATAACCATAGTACTTCAAAGTGTTGGTAATGAGTATTCATATATCCTGAAATAGAGGAAATTCCATATGGAAAGTTAAAGACAAATGTGTTCAGAATGTCTACAGCTGTATGCTTGACGATAAAATGTGTAAATTAAGTAATTTGCACAACCAATAAGTAAAAGTTAATCATTAAATGAAAAATAATATACATTCTCTTCAAATTATTGTTGAATCAATGAATGAATGTTTCTTCGATGGTAGTTATTAATTAATTAATTGCAGTACTGTCATATAATTAGTTAATTAATCATATTACACCTCTTTGCATCACTGAGCTTTCTTCTAAAATGGGACCAGTACAGAAGTGACCGTTCCATAAGGCTCATTTTTGATCATTTCTTCGCGAAAACATATCTTATTTTCTTCTCCTATATTATTTAGGAAATGGTGGAGAAAAGCATTCCTCGCAGATGATAGTGGCAAAAAGAGCAAAACTTGTTTCTATGTAAAGAGTTTTTAATGAAGAAAAAAACCAGATATTGTTGCTGAAAAGTATAACAAAAATTCTGAGAAGCTAAATAAACTGTTAATGGAAAATGTATACCATTCTTCTTTCAAGCCCTTTTAAACGAACTTTTTGGTATAAAGGATCTAAGACAAAAAATGTTAAAAATTGAAATGAATCACCCGTATGCATATTTCATTTATTAAAGTCATTATATTGTAAGGAAATAAATTGTGTGATCACTGGATCACTGAGGGCAAAAGGGCTCACAAATACTATTTAATTATATGATGCTAACTTAACTTCAAAGATGTCAGCTTTATTTGAATCAAAATTATTCTCTTGCTAAATTAATAAAAAAGCTACTCAAAACTTTACTTCGACGGTTTGGCAAAATAGCGATGCAGCAAGAATAACATAAACTTCTTTCATCAGGCGCAGTTATTAGTGTTTCCTGCAGGAAACAGTCCAATTTGTCGTTGGTCTAGTGAAACCCAAAAATGTGGATGAAAAGTGAAACGACTAATTCAAGATGATTCAAGCTTTCTAACCTCTCCGAAAAATGTCCACAGTTTGAAGCCTGCAATAAATAATAAATATCCGTCAACTCATTCCTAATAAATATCTGTCAAATCATTCCTACTCTGTCTACTTACATTTGCATATAAACTGAAAACTAAGGCCTTAGGAAAGATTATCCATTATTTTTGAAGAGAACTTCCTTAAATTGCAAATGACAGATTTCAAATTCTCCTAGGAAAAGAGCACAAATCAAATATCAAACTAATATTCTATCAAATGCTACCAGAGCTTTAAATATTAGGAGTTAAGGAAACTATTTTACGATGCCAGACAAGCAAAAAAATAAATTTGTAGATTTTCCAAACTGTAGTATATTTACGGTAGAAGTGACAAAGATAATGAGAATGATATCACGGAACAGAACTGCTATCAACCTTTGCTAATTTCTATTTTAAATTTAAGTCTGCAAAAACAGCAATAGTCAAGTTATAAACTTTTAGATGAAAAATCAGAAATTATTTGAAAAAATGTTATGTAATTAATTGCATCACAAAGAAAACAGAGAAGAATATTTAATGTAGTGAGGATTCGCTCAAATAGAATCAAGCGAAGGAATGAGATTGCAAGAATCCAGTTTGAAAATATCCAATTTTAGCCTTTTTCCATCGTGTTTTGTTATCATACAAGTTGTGCGATAGTAGTAGATATAATGATATTATAACTAGTTGTTAATGGCTTTGCTGCTTTTACCAAATCATTCAACAAATTGACAGTTGATGAAAACAATTAGTGAGAAGATGCTCCAAGCACTATTTTAGAAAAATGTTAGATCTCTTTTAATTCCCTTCACCAGTAAGTAGACTGCTGATTTGAATGATACTTCTTAAAAAATTAATAGAAAACCACATCGCAGAGCTTTTGCAATTGATTACTGGGTGGGTATTTGGAGGGCAAAAGGATTGAGAATTGTATTTTCTGAAAGAAGGTTTACATGAAAATGAAAAGGCCAGAAAAAAAGGAAAAATGTAAGGTAAAGGAACAAAGTCAGTGGAGTGTTCGAAAAGGATCTAGAAAATCTTGACCTACTGATATTCGATCTATTCCAAAGCAATGGAATTTGAACTTTCCTTCCAAACTACTTCGTCTTCCAATTCATAAATTATCAGTATTGAAGGGAATGATCTGGTACCTCGATGCAATATCCTGGTTCCTTTGTCTGCCATATTATCTCTCCTAATTTCGCAGATGGAGCGGGGAAATTCACATATATATAAGAAATCTTTTAATTTTCACTATTATGCAAAAGTGTTGGATGAAATAAAAGCTTCCAATAACAAATTGTTCATTTTAATTATGACTACGATTGAAGTGGGTGGTTTAAGCGAAACGCTACCTGCGAGACTGAGTAAAGTAAGTCATTGCAGATGTCATGCGTTTCAGCAAGTCGGTACTTGTCATTGTTTGTTTGTGGAGTAAAATTTTCCACTTTATCAAGCACATCATCGATATATTCATATCTAGGTACCAAAGGTTCAACTTTTTTTGCTTAATCGAAATTGTCAAAGTAAGACTTTTTTTTGCTCCGAACAGCCACACTGACCTTTTTATTGGGCACACAATTAAGCTGTCAAGCTTCTAATTTCTAAATTTAAAGAAAAAGTATTTGATTTACAGTATTCGGATGCATTCAAAAAAGCGGAAAGTGCAATGAAATTATTGTTGGATTTGTGTGCAAGTCCTAGTTTTGAGACAAGGGAAGGTTGGAAAAATTCGTATGAAAAAAACGGCGAAAAGGTCTACTCCAAACAGTTTGAAATAGGAAAAATATTTACTTTAAGGGTAAGCTACATCTTATAGTTTGTGATGGTACACGTATTGGTATTTATAATAAGTGTTCAAGATTTTGAATTCTTAACTCATTTAGATAATTTTCAATGAAACAATTCAAAACTTATTCTATGATCACTGGGAAAAGATTACAACAACGCCACTGTGGAATCCTAATTTTGCGTATATGGAGAGGATTGAAAAATTAACTTCTCACTGTGATATTCTGAAGGTTAACTTCACTTTCTCGAAAATACTCAGAAAGTATGTCTCTTACTGATAATGAAAGTTTTCTAAAAATTTAGAAAATTTTGTGCTTTTTTCGAAGATGAATTAAGCAATTTTTAGTACGCAACAACAGATATAATGTTCATAAAGGGCCGTGAATTCTTGGCATGTCGATTATATCGGAAAATTGGATCTACAATTTATGTAGCTGCAAAAAGTTTTGAAATCGATGAAATACCTAAAGTGAACAGCAAAGTACGGTATGTAACTTGTAGATCCCCAACTTCTTTGGAGTTATTCTTGACATAGAAACTTTATTTTTTTCGCTTAAAAGGAGAAACGTACTGGATCAAAACAAGTATTCACGATAAGTGGTAATATTTTATATCAAAGTGTGAAACCGTTCCGAGTTAACTCTTACTATTTCTGCAAACAGTGCTGAGATGTTGCTTGGTGCCGGACGATTTTCACCGCATCCACCAGATCCACAGAAAACACTTATCGATTATGCACTCTGTGTGAATCCAAAAATTAGTTTACCTCAGCGCCTCATCGATACTTGCATTGCATATATGTTACATCGTGATTCAATGTTTGCTCGGAAAAAAGCACAAAAGTTGCGAAAAACCAACCACTCACAGGAAGCTATGAAGACGTCAAATACACTTGAAGATTAAAATTCTTTGTGTTAATGCAATGTCTCGATTTAAGTGTATTATGCAATATGTATTGAAGGTCATACATCGAAGTGACCATCAAACGAGAGTCGTAATGTTTATGGCCACGAAGGATAAAAGAAAATATTTCATGGGAAAAAAAAAGCTTTTCCATTCGTCTAACCTAATGAAGTAATTCAACCTATTTTTCACTTTAATGCATAAGTTGCAGAAACAAGAATTTTTTTTTTCAAAACAAACTCATCAACGTAACGCATGAAGTCACAGCAGAACCTTTTTTCTGGACCTGCTACCTGTAACACCTTCTTATCATAGTGATTATGCATTCGCGCTAGCTGATCGTTTCATAAGTTAGCACAGGAGAGGATTTTAAGTTAAACCATATGCAAGATAACATTTTTCCCTTTCATATGAACATATATAGCAGTTCAGGGTGAAATACCACAAGGAAAGCTTTAAAACGGAAATAGGCAGTTATTATTGCAGATAAAGCAAAGACAAGCATAATAATCATTGGTGTCATTTAGTAGTTAGGGGATTTTTCTAAATAGTAGCTCGTTGTAGCTATTGCTGTCAAATTCTATTGGTGATACACTACGCTACCATTTACGATGATTCGTTGAACGCAAACTTTCTCGGATGTTGTAATTCCATTCAAACGGAGTCTCATCCGTTGGAATTTAGTTTGTAACGCAATATGTATTTTATGACAGCTCTAAAATTTAGAAGCGTTTTTGTATTTCTTTTTAAAAGTAATTCTCCAATTATTAAATATACCAGTACGATTGAAAAATTGTGAGGATTCTGAAGTAAGTTCAAACTTCATAGATTTTCCAAGGGAAGATATACCTGTCACCTGAATGATCAACTCGCAAAAAAACGTACCAAAACGGTATTGCTAGACGTCATACGTTCTAAATAAGTTCCAGGCAGTTGAATAGAAGCAGTATGTGAACCAGTTTCTTTAATGATTCCTGCTTGTATTTCTCAATTATTTCAGAATGTTTAAATACCACCCGACAGGGCTTTTTAAGTAAACTCATTTCAAATGTAAAATGAATGGTTATTACCAGAACTCATATCACATAATTAGGGATTTATAAACATAATAAATGAAAATTAAAGAAAAATAAGTAAAAACTAAATCCATAAGACAGATCACTTTTACCAAAAAGGTTTTACGAACTTTACTGATAGCCTAATTAATCAACATGTTTTTCTTAACAATTCATATTACCTTCACTACTTTCTCTTTTTGTCTCTCGTCGAACATCATTATTCAACGAAGCATCTGAAATAACCATTTTTATATGAAATGGAACTAATAGTGTCTCTGCTTCAACGAAATAAAGTTAGAGAGATTTCTACAGAGGGTCCAATTATGTCATGTTTTGCATATTTAAGATCAGTTGTACCGAACTACAAATAAAAATCTGTAGTGGAAAATTTTAATAAAGAAAGAAAAGCCAACACTTTTTAGAGCGTTTACCTCAGCTAACTAACAGCCACGTGAAAGTTTACCCACAATTTGTTAGACTGAATAAATTCATCGCCTATATGAAATTACATGATACCTTATACCTTTAGTAATTGAAGCATCACCATCGGCAATTAATACTGATTTTGAAAACTTCTCTTGCCCTTCAAAAAACGATAGAATTTTGATTAAAGATCTGACAAAAAATGAAGTGTTTAATCTTGTATGTTTAACAAAATTTCTATTATCAAGAAGTTATTTGCACGAGTCTCTTTAACCATGGAGTCTTTCAAAGAATCATTATTTTGAATTCAAAACAATCATCTTTTGAAAAAATTTGAAAAGGGAAAAAATTTATTCATAGTTAAAATTCGAAATCGAAGAAATTCACTCACCATCGAAACACTGTTTTCTTGTTTGATCCGAATGTGAAATCGGTTGTGTTTGTTGAATTATTGCACTGTCCCATGATTCCCTGCTTATCCCTTCTCTAATTTCTTTAAAACTTATAGCATCAAATACATTTAAACCGGCGGAAATATAATTCTCAAATTGTTCCTCATAACTGATTCTCTGTTCCAATTGCTGGTTCCGGTCAGAATCTATGGTCCGTGCAGTACTTTCAGTTAGCACATCCTTGACTGAATCTGTACTATTTAGTGTGCAGGTCAGTGATTGTTCTGGCGACCATTGCTGGGCAGTAAGGAGTGAGTATGCTGGAGATTCACTGCAGAGAGAACGGTCATCGTAAGGGCAGTACCTTGCACCGTTAACTTGAATCATTAATTCAGGAGAAACACGGTAAGTTTTAAATCGTTCTTTATATGAAATTTTGTGAGGTATTTTCTGCTTTGTCTGCTTTTTCAAGAATCGTTTGGCTGATGAATTTTGTGAGAGGTTAAACTGTGCTGTATGTATATTCGGAGAGATATTGTCCTCGAAGCGCTTGAAACGAGAATTCCTATTCATGATTTTCATAACCTTTTTCTGCCAAGAATCGGATTCTTGAAAATCAAAAGAACAACAGTGAAAACCTGAAATCTTTTTTGGTGGAATTGTTTTCGTTTGCATCCACAAACTTCCCCCGCTTGATGGGATCAGTGAAATATTAGAAAATGAGGATGAACTTGACGGTTGGGTCCGAGCTATACATACGTCCAGTGAAGCAAAATTCTGGAAGCGTTCGATACGAGATTTCTTCTGCATTGGTTCCGCCGTTGATTTATTCCAAACACATGGGGAAGAAGTCAGATATCTAGAAGGTAAAAAGAGACTTTGACGAGTACATTTGCTAGATGGTGTTGGTTTTGATCGTCCAGTGAATGATCTGTCAAAAAACGAAGTGTCACGATAAAGCAACGCAAGCGATGACCTTGCTCGAACGGCATTTTTTTGAAAACGATCAAAACGAGAAGTTCTCAACAACTTTGGTATTTTCGATTTTCTTCTCATCGATACTCTAGAAAATAAAGCATTGGATACGGTAAGTGCTTCACATGATTTTGTTGAGGCGGTACTTGTGCCTGACAAATTTGTTTTCAGAAAACGTTCAAAGCGAGAAACTCTTTGTAATATAGATTTAGATCGTTTCCTTGGCGATTCGCTATGAGATACCACATCAGGCAATACTGATGCTTCCGACGGTTGTATTTCGGTAGTACATGAACCTGATAAAGCATTTTTCTGAAAGTACTCCGTACTGGAGGCTCTACGCAATAGTTTAATTGTGAAGTTAGAACGATGTTTCCTTGGCAGTGCTCCAAAAGACAAACTTTCAGTCAAAAGCTCTTTCGACGACCGTAGATGCGCTACATGTACGGATGAAAGACTGCTCTTGCTAGAAAGTTTTGGTAGGTAAACTGACTTTGCTTGCTCATAGAATAAACCTTTGTGCAGCCTGGTCGGTAAGATGGCAGGAGAACTTGGCGCAAGTGCTTGTGTTGCAAGGAAATCCCGTGAAACTTCTAGTTCAAATTGTTCAGGACGACAACTTCCTTGAGAGATCTTCGATATTGAATCCTCAGAGACTGGAAAATGGTTAAGACGTGAGACTTCCGATAATGATTTGGAAATTGTTCGTTCCAAAATCACTTCTGGAGATATTCCTATTTCAGTTAAAGTCGACTGATCCGTAACTTGTCCCAATCGTGATGGTTGCGAGGCACGTTCTGCATCCTTGATTTCTGGCTTCCAAAAGCGTTTAAAACGAGAGACTTTCTGAGGTGAATTAGGAGAAATCCACTGCCAAATGTTATATTTGGAGGATTCTGATGACATAAAATATGACGACTGTCCTAAAGTTGAAATCCGTTGCGATGATTCGATTATCCATACCTGTGCAGAAACAGCCTTCACAAATTGTGACGCGAAGCGTTCAAGGCGAGAAATTTTGTGTGGTACACGGGAAAATGTTCGCTGCCAACCACATGGTGTTTTGACTTGAGTTGTACAAAGACTAGATATCGGAGCGTTATTATGTATCTGGTCTGATTGTTGCATATGATCTCTGCCTAGATGAAATCGAGAAGTTTCCTCCTGATATGAATTTCTTAATGATAACTGCGATTCAGCCTGTTCCAAATTCAATGATGTCTCGGTTGGTTCATTTTGGGCATTCATAACTGAATGTACTGCTTGACCTTCCCTCATGAAACGTTCCTTTTGCGATGTTGCGTCATATCTCGATATTACTCGATCCCAGAATAATGGTTTTAAATACTTATGGTACAATCCGTTACAAGGTAAGGAAGCGACTCTCGATAATAACTGTGGTGATAGCTGTTGCAAATTTTGACGGTTTGATTCATTTGCTGTATTACATTCTGCAGTGAGTTCAGGACTGCTGATGGAACGTTTTTTGTTACATATTTTTGGTGATGGTTGTGATGTCGCTCGCTGCCATAAGCGCAGTTTTGATCGATGACTTTTTCTGTTTCTTGATGGCGTTAAAGAAACTGCAGTTCGTAAGCCTTCTGAAATTGAATGTCGTCGACGAGAAGTCCACCACGAAGATCCCAAAGGGGTACACCGCTTCATCATTTGCTTCATTTTCATAGCAAACGAAATAGTTGTAGCCATGTATTGCGGGATATGTTGAGGTCCTTTCGAAGCTGTATTTGTCGTGGATATCCGATAATGATAGGACGATGGAACGTGTTCAGAACTACTCGTTGTTGATTGCAGCATAAAATATCGCCATGGAGAAATAAATATTGGGATGTCATATTTCTTTTCGTCTGATCGGCATGTTTTTAAATCCGCCATTGAAAGGATGGAATTTGGAGTATAACTGACAGGTGATGACAAACTATCGGTAATGGCAAATGCCGATTTTGCTTTAGAAACATCAATACTGTTGATCTGAACGAATGAAAATTCTACTATTCCAAATGAAAAAATGTTTCAGTTGGATTCATGCTTTTATCAATTAAAGGATAAAATTTACTACTTCAAATCCAATAAGTTTTTAACCAACTAAAGTTTCTAATAATAATTTCGGGAAATTTTCGTCGTCAAATACATAGCTTTAGCCATCAGACGAACAATTTTCTCAAGAATTTAAGAGCCGTTGTCCTCAAGACTTTGTTTGGGAAAATTGAGGAAATAGTATTGGTATTTAAATTTCAAATTTAATTTTGAAAACAAAATCACTGTGAAATCCAAACCAAATTACAGGGGAATTGCTGGTCGTGCCTCTTGATTCAGTCAAATCCAAGCTACCGGCTGTATATTCAAGAATATCCTTTTCTGAACTTCTTTTCTCAATGTCCACAGTCGTGTAATGATCTGAAACAAATCAGTCCGAAGGTGGTGCTTTTTCCATATTTGATAAAAATAACGAAAAAATATGAATTTAATAAGAAACCTGATCAGACAGATATCGTAATCTTATAGCTTAGTGATCCTATCAGATTTCCAATGATTTTTAATACCATTGTAATTAGTAATTTATTAAATAGAGTTATGGGAATTCATTAAGAATTCGTTAAGAAATTTAGCTTTTAAGAAATGAAAAAATTTCATAATTTGGTTGTACAACAAACTGTTAAGAAATTTTAAAATTATTCGAAATCAACTGCTTGCACAGATGAATGAATTCATTGTATGAAGACCAGTTTGCTTTATTGCACCCGTAACTGCTAATAAGTATACTTATTAATTAAGGTGGATATAACGAACCAAGCCAAACAATCAAATCAAATTAAAAGCTCGTAGTTAATAACACTAATGCAAATGGGTTGCGTCATGCGCAATCTTCTAAGATTCGTTTTAAAAAGCCTGATAATTTAACCATTATATTTTACAGTATCTCTCGTCACATTTGCGAAAAACGTTGTTGTCTTCTCTGTGATTGTCCTTAGACGTTATTAATTTACACATCAATTATAGCCGTCCTTTTCGGTAACGTAAGACTGTACCATTAACATTCATTTGTGTTATCCAATTATCATATAATTTTACAAGCTTTCACAACAAGATGATGGATGTATTCAACGTAAAACTACGTTTCAAGTTCAAATTTTAGACACAAACTCGTATTGGACTTGCTACGTGTTATGTGCTTGTTATGACCTTTGAAAAACTACATGATGAAATAATTCAAATTTTCGTCCATTCAAACAGAGGCAAAAATTTTGGCATTTTTTAATCGCCATTTTCGAAATTCATTTTCGAAACTGTGAGGAAAAACACTTTATTTAGAAAACGTGGAAGCTTGGGATGACATGTCCTTTCAGACATATTTACATTCTTGTTCCCTCAATGGGTCCCAACCACAGGTTTTTCAAAGTTCATGCAAATACTAATGCAGAAATTTGGACAGTTAAATAGATATGCAGTAATTACATTCCTTAAAATTTTTTGAATTTATAAAAAATTGATTGCGTCAACTTGACGAAATGAATTTGAAACTAGGAAAACCGAAGCATACCCGTTTCATCCATCTGTTTCGATGTTATCAGAATTTCTCTACTTGGCTCTGTGCCTGCACATTCCAATTCGATATCGACTTCCAGTGGATGTGTCGAGAGCTCCCTTTCTCTTTTCATATTGTACTCCATATTCCGATGATCAGCGATCACTTCTGTTAATAACTATTCGGTTATTACGTCTATGTTAGGCTCATATTAAAATAACTATTTAAAACTTATTTTTTATATTTTACAGATAAATGCCATTTTGACAAGCTGGTGACAAATTAGGAATTGTCCAGCAACGGTTTATATCATGGCTTATTGGGTATTTCTACAAAAAAAATTATATAATAATGCCGATTTATCCTCGACCTGTAACACTTTCTAATGATTCTAACGTTGGTTCATTTGGATTCGATTGAGTTCCATTTAAATTAAACTAGAATTAAATTCCTTCTTCTTATGATATTGTCAATTTCATTCCTTTGGGAACAGTATTCTATTCAGCATGTGTCGTAATAACACCAAATACAATAAAGTTAGTTATAAACAACTGAGATTAAGTTAAACAAATAATTCAAGAATCTAAGGTTTGACAACAAAGTTATAAATTGAAGCTCAAGCAAAAGTTTGCCCCATCTCGAATTTCTTTCATGTTTTTTGCGCCGGTCGCGTTAAAAACCGTACCAGAAGATAATCGCGGAATAATATGATTATAATTCTCAGGATCTTAGTTAATATCACCACTCTTCTGATGAACCCCTTCTTAAACTGGTCCCAGAATATCTACTTAGTAATATGTGTTAAAAATTACTGGCTTAAATTTTGAACTTTTCTTCGTAAGTTCCAGGCATCTCAACCAAATCCCAAAACTGGTAAAATCTTCAACTAGCGTGATAATTCTAACAATTACAGCTTAAATTCGTTCCATGGAGTTAAGCTTGCCATTAATAATAATAACTGAATGATACCTTTGTTTCCCTCAGCTGACATTGAACATGACGCTGAATCGTTCCATCCAGATGAGGCTACAATATCTATTCACTTTTTTTTTCTACACTTTCAATAACTCAAAATATGAGTCTGTTAACAAAGCGACAAATTACTATATTGATAAACAACAGAATCTGTAAGTAATCAATCACATCTAATATTTAGTTTGGTTAATATAACTATAATTATGATTGGAAAGTGTTAGACAAAGAAGATATCATTGCTACGTTTGCGCAGCTATCAGTGCCAAAAGAAAATTTCTTTCTCCTACTCACCCATTAGTCAACAAAAAAGAACAATAACACTATTTACAACTATAATAATGTGTTTGTTACATACCGAGTATTCAAATAATGATAATATTAAATGGGATTTATTAAGTGACAGTCATTGTGAAGTAATTATTAATTGATTACCTTGAAAAGTGATCTTATTGCATAGCTACTTATGACAATTTTCACGGTAATTTTTGTGGCAACTATTGTACGACAATTTTTTTCATTTTTATTGCATAAAAATAGTTAAATTTCTAGCCTCATTAAGTAAGTTCAGAATTATATTCAGACCTTTCAATGAAGAAGCCATTGCAATATCAGCAGCACGATCTGATGTGACAATTGATGTTTTCTGAGTTGTTACCCATTTTACTGTTTCCATTTCAACATTCAATCTATCCATGTATGATGATTCTGTCTGAGATTTACTCATTTCCAGACAATCACATTCATCATTTTCCGCGCATTTTCCAAAATTTTTATTGTGCTTTTTGTTTTGTTTGCACTGTACTGAATTCGGTAATGTTATAAAACTATACTTCTGGCAATTATAAGCAGAGGAAAGAGCAGGGTATTTGTAGAGAACAGATGCAGAAGTGAGGATTGAACTGTTGGACACACTGTGTGGTATCGTTTGACTTCGGCTATCTAAATTTTCAGCATCGAGCAAGTTAACATTTTTATGATTTGAGACTGTGTCACAATCAGAATTCAGAAAGCCGCAATGAGAGCACTGCCATTCATGTCGCACTGGATTCATTGAATACGAACACTTAGGTTTTTGATCAATATACAAAGATCGAATTTCTCGTATCGTCGTACCACCGCAATCATTGCAGTGAAAAATATAGTAATTTTCAGGTTCCCAAGACGCAGTTCCTAGCATCGGTCGTAGAGAATTTGGACATCCGCAACAATGCTGATTTCCGGAATGATAAGAACACAAAGTGTAATCACCCTGACGACTCATTGCATGGCTGCGATCGTTCATCTTCACACTCCACTGATTGATTTCAGTGCCTATAGCATCAAATGATGCATGCAGTCAACGTAATAATTATTCCAAGTAATAATTATTACTTCATTTATAGTACATCAGAGCAGGGCTGATCCTATAATGGCGTGAAACAATCTTCCAAAATTCTACTAAATAAGGCTTATCAATCTCACAGTTCCACTTGCCATTTTACTTCTTCCCCAGTACAATAAGGTAAATCACTCATTGCGAGAGAGATTCTTTAATGACTTTCAAACAAATTTCCAAACAACATTCTAAACTAAGTTCTTTTGAAATGATAAAGTTGAAAAAACATTTGTATATATTTGCAAATATAGATTTGAACGGAGCGAATTAATGCAGTTAGAAGGGATTGAACAAACAAATTGAGAAAGTTTTCAATTATGTGATGAGTAATTTCATCCATGGATATTTAGATTAAAACGATTGAAAAAAAATATGTAATTGAGAAACGACGGTACCTGTCGGTTTGCTGCGGTTGATTGTTCGGTTTGCTACGATTGATTGCGTTTCAGAAATGGACATTTTCAAGTTACTACGTCTTCTCTGATTCATTTCCATAGTGGTGTTCACGTCCGAAAAATCTACATCGTTGATTAAAAATAAAACGTTACACTTTAGGTCGGAGCAAATAGCTACCAACATATGTTGACGTTCTAAGCGTGCGATCCTTGGAATGATCTGTTTTTCCCGATATTTCTCATTTCTCAACATTAGATTCTAGGATTTTTGTTTCCGGTTTCTGATTGCGTTGGTCCTTTATTGATTTTAGAGCATTTTGAAATACTTGATAAACTCCACAAACGTGTATGCAAAGTAGGATAAAAAACTAAAGTTGGACAACCTTTGTATATATGCCATCAGATCTTTTTTCTTGCTACCCGACATTTATAACCCAATAAAAAAGCAAGTTGTCCTCTGTTCCTTCAGTCAATTTTATGTGCAATTAAGAAGCAAAATGCATGCAGCATCCCATAAACTATAATTTTAGCGTGACGCTTTAACGTCAATCGTTGAATGTCATCATTAGAACGGTCAACCAGTCAGCTTAGCAGGTTCTCTGCCAGTTTGCTTTAAACTTGTAAAAACTTTTTAAACTTAACCATAAAATTTAAAAGCGCACATGAGCGAGCTATGCTCACATCCCCGTTTTTTTTCTTGTTACCATCATTAAAACTCTTCACACTCATATCTTTCCGTCTCTGAAAGGGAAAATACACACAGTTCATATATTGAACTTTTTAAAAACATCATTGAAGTCACTTCCAGTATTTCCGCCAGTGTTACAGATAAATTTGAACATGAAAATATAATGAGGGTAATTAATAGCATATTAATGAAGGGGATGGATTCTGACTGACTAATCGGAATAATGTCCAGTAAAGGATTCCGGTTATTCAGTTACGGAAGCGGAAGGGTGGGAAAAGGAAGGATATAAACAATATTGCATCATTTAACGCGACTGCTTGGGTAACTTATCTATCGGTTTGTTTTTCAGATATAAAAATATACACATCACCGTTCATAAGCTAAGACATTTCATGAACGCAGTTGCGTTTGCGGACGGAAGATTGAAAGTGCACGCAAATATTCCCTTGTATGAAACCTGTGTTTCTAATTGTTACCATGGGTATTGGTCCATCAGGGATTTCTGAAGCTGTGGTGACAAGTCCATCCTGAAGTTCGTCTTCAATTCGTATCCACGGGGTTAGATGCCCAACTTCATTATTTCTTTTAGTTGAAGACATCAAGCTGATCTTTATGTAATTACTAGACCAGTTATAGAATTACTTGATCAACACGCCTAGTGATTTAGGAAACTGCAGCAAAAGATATATAAAAATCTCACTGAATCCATCCAACATTTCGGGTGACTATTTACTGGCGAATAAGAATTTGCATATCTATTGAATGCAATTTGCATTTCACCAAGGAGAGAGTTGAATATGGTAGCTGGATGAATATCGTGGATTCGCTTTCATTTATACTAACACGAATTTGGATCGAAAAAAGAGCCATCTGAAAAAACCACAGATCACCATTGTGTTGTCGTCATGCACAATGATATTTGCAAATTTTTGAACTCGGAACCCATTTTAAACTAATGCTACACAGTCTAGTACATCAGTTTCGCACGAGACCACAATGTTTTGGAAATCGTTTTACCCCATGCCATTTTAATTTATACATTTGAAAATATCTCGTCCTTCTCATACAGAACAAAAACTCGGAACGCTCTAAAAACAAAGAGTAAAGAGCTATGTATTCATATTTATTCCATCCTACTTCGAATGTTGCAGAGAGATCCACAACCTCAAAAGAAATTAAGAAAAAACAGCTTTTTTATGTACACAACAATAATACACACAGTTCCGAGATCTACATTTCACACTACTGAACAGTACTACACAACCAACATTTCAATTAGAATAAAAAAGATAAAATCACTCCAGATAGATAGACATTTGGCAACGCATTACATCAAATGGTAAAGATTCATTCAGAGGAAATCTTATCCAAGCTTTCCAAGACATATTAGAATAGTAGTTCCCAACCGGTGGTCCACGAGAACTAAAATGTGGCCAAGAAAACGGCCGCACGGTGAATAGAATATAGCAGGAGCCGTTCTTACCAATATTTGATAAATACGTTAAAAGTTTCGATTAAAATTCATTTTCAAATAACAAAATTTATTATTTTTGAACCTTTTAGTCGGTGCTACAAATAAAAAAGCCAAAATGGTTCCTGGTCAAGAAGAGATTGGGAAGCATTAAATTAGAACGACACAACTATCTAGGCATTTTGGAAAAAGATATAAATTCAGATTTGAAAATTACTTTGGAAGTATTTCAAGACTTTCAGGATCAATCGGTCAGTCAAGACTGCTAAATCCATGACAAAAAAGTGCTTAACCATAAAGGATAATATCACGAAGAGAAAAAAAAACACTTTTCTTTATAATTATGAAATTAATAATGATGTTTTGGGACATAGTGGGAGTCGGCTAAAACAAGTAAAACAATAAGCAAAATAAATGTTAACATGCGGAGAAATGGAAAGGATTGAAAACTGTAGTTTACGCACAATTCAAACGTAAAATTGTGAAAGATAGAAGAGTGATTAAAAGGCAAAACCAATAACTTTCCAATGATAAGCTTAATTTTGGAAGTATCTTCAACGTTAGAACTCAAATATTTTGAAGAAATATTATACTGCAACCAACAGCAGAAAAACGCACCAGACAAAATCAATCAGAATTGAATCCCTAAAGGCAAGAAAACAGGGCCATGTAACTTGTGTTTGAGAACGATTTCATCAAATTCTTTTTGTTTCCACATTGAAAATGGGAAACAATCAGTTTTGTTAGAAATGATGCAGCTATTCCATGGTTGTTATTGCTAAAATAACGGTGAACATATTCTACTACATTACATAATTTGGATCATAATATTAGCAACAAAAATAATGTTATATGGAATCCGAAAAACACATATTTCTTCGGAAATCAATATTATTATCATGTTTCAACGTTTCAACCCAAAGCAAGATGGAAATAAACTCCTTTCTCTTTGTGAAAACTATTTCAAAAATAAATATCTTAAAACAGCAATTACTTTATTTACACTAAGCTAAAAAAATGAACCACTGCAGCTACACTATCCTACAACCAGTTATTAAAAATGTGAAATTCTATTTCTTTTAAACCACCTTATGCCATGCACAGTTTCGTTCGTTTTACACATCATAAATTTTGTTAGAAACGCAAAAGTGTAAGTTTGAAGGTAACCAAATTTCATGCTCTTAGAGCAATGAACTGATGGTAAATTTCCAAAATTTTTGGATCGATTCCTGCTGTTACAAACAATTCCTTATCAATGTATTGTTTAATCTCGAACAATTCGTGCCAGTACTAAAAACCAATTTCAATTTCGTATTACCGACAATGCAACACTGTCTTTTTTAAACATAAAAGTGTTTACTTAAAAAGAAATTGATAAATTTTTTTTAATTGTGACATGTTTTTTCTGAAAATAACTTTTTTTGCTCACACGATAACCCGATGCATTATAATCAAAAGGAGACAGCAAAGGTTATTTGTGAATGGAAATTTTGTTAACAATTAATATTAATTTGACGACGAGAAGGAAGTTCAAAAATCTGGATTTCAATGAAAAAGTCAAAAACTCAAACCCTCAACAATATCTCCTTATATCGTCCCATCATATATCGATACCAATAAGTGTCGTAGTTTCTTCCAGTTGTTTCATATTTTACAACATGTTCAGAGAGAAACACTACCAATTTCTAAAAAACATTTGCCATTTGCCTTTTCTGGAAGAATCAAGAGAGAAAAAAATGGATATATGTATGTCAAATAGGATTCTCCAATAACATTAGGTATTTACCCACATTTTAGAATCTCGAACTCTCATCGCAATTTTCCACTAAAATAAAATTTCCATAAGAATGTAGAAACTAAATCAAATAATCGTATTTATTTTTTCTTAATGCTTTAAATAACAAAATAATATTCTAAATTACATGTAAAACATTCAGAAACAGGTTTTTCAACATTTCCTGTATTTCCTTCAATTCCTTCTTCTTCATTTCAATATCATCGTCAAGAATTATCCCCAAACCATCGTCTTCTTCATTATAACAGAAACGCTGATATGCCTGTACAAAAAGCATTACAAAAAAATATTACGGAAAAATAAATAGTGAGCAAAAAAAAGGAAACTTTGAAATTTGTATTATAAGATTCAGAAAATATTAGTCATACAAAAATTTTTAATATTTGCAAATTTCATTTAAAAATGTTGGACTTAATTCGGTAATTCAAAATGAAATTAATCTGAATTATCCAATAACTTTTCAACCAATAAAAGTGTTAATGAAATTATGTGATCTCTGGAAGCAATCAGTTCGCGATTTTTTGGAGTTGCCACTCATGTGATAAACACAAGCAAAAAAAGGATGACTAAGATGGAACCAGTCCCTAGCGTATTTTTATTCGAATTTCAAAGAAAATCATCTAGCACTTTAAAGAATTATCAGTTTAGAAAAATAGAGTGGTAAAAAGGAAATTTATTTTACCATTATCCGAAAAGATCCCTTCACTTCTTTTATAAAATGACATTCACGCTATCATAAAATTGAATAAATTACGTTTCTATCATTTCGCTCCATCCTGG